GAGTGGTCACCAGGCTCAGAACTTCATGGAAGATAAATAATAATTAAAAACAAGTCATGTAAAGCAGGAAGACTTATTAAAAACCATTTGAGGAAAAAAAAAAATGAGTTTATAGTTTTTCTGCATCCTTCATTTTCTGGTTCATTGTAGGGACTACGCTTACTGCTTGGAAGCTATCTATAGGTTCTGCAGAAGCTCACAGGCTAAAGTACACAGCAGTAAACATACAAGCCTTTTATACCCTAAATGCAGGACAGAGGACACGAAAAGGCTACTCCTTTTAGCACCATGTGCTCCCACCCAGACTTCTAAGTCCCTAGTACAGGGTAACAAACAATAGACCAAGGAAAAGCCAAACAGGATTAGTACTACCGCCAACCTATACACTGGGGTCCTTACGCACAGTTTATTACAATATTCATCTATCTTCTTATCTATGTTTGTTTACTTTCATCATATATAAAGAATCATAAAATAATTTGTGTCAGAAGGGACCCCAAAAAGTCCCTTTTTGGGCTCTGCACCACTCCCCCACTGAAAGTGAGACTAACTTCAGTATTAACACCAGGTTGCTCAGAATTCGTGCAGTCAAGTTCTGAGCATCTCCACGGCTGGAGATTCCACAACCTGTCTAGTCAGCCTGTCAGCTGGAAAATAATAAAATGACGAGGAACCTCAATAGAAAGTCAGTTTTGCATTCTGAGATACACATGTATTCCTACAGTATTTGAATTTCCAAACACCAATTAATGTTCCCTTTACATTTAAAACTCTTCTGAAACAATTTTCCTGTCAGCTGTTCTTTCAGTACACCACAAACTGTAAAGTGTATCAGATTTATACCATCATATCTTAATAGCCCGTCTTGGGTTTGTTGAACAAAGTTGTCCACAGTATTTTGTCCATTTTTTGACTCATTTTTAAAAGAACATTTTTGCTTTACACCTCTCTAAAGGTGACATCATTAAAGAATATGTAAATATTTAAATCTTTGTTGTTTCTACAGTCTTTGAAAGGGGTAGTGCAAACATTACTTCTTCCATGGGCTCACACACACTGAAAAATTTCAGAACACAGTCTATTACAGCTAGATATTCATACAGCCTTTCTTTTAGTGCTTTTACTGCACTTTAGCTGTCTATTCTCAGACACTCCATCTGGCACTTTAAATCAGAATAGTGACCACTACAATTCACTTTAAGTACCCCTTCACAGACTTCTGTGTTTCACTTACCACATCAGAAAGTTACTTTACCAAATTTGCTCAGTTCTATATCTTTTATTTCACAATTAAGCCCTTCCCCCATAGCACTCAGTGCTAGCCACAATACATTCATTCCCTCAGTTAGGAAGAAAAGAATTCTTATTTTTCCCATTAATTCAAATTGGAAACTCTGTCCAACATCAAGACCGCCAGAGAAGTGAGCTGAAGTTTAAATTTAAACTCATCTATTTGACACTAATATCTGACATCCACAATGGTCTGGTTGCAGGCCAGGACAAGAAGCTGAGATTACACCAGCAACTACAGCGATGAGCCCTCCGGCTAGTGGAGAGATGGTAGATAACCATCTTCATTCTTGATCCCTCTGCTAGGATTTACCAGCTTCTGCGAGCAGAAAAGAAGGTAGGGCTAAAGTCCAACACAGAAAAGGTATGGTAGCAGTGTTAGTTATGTCCTCCTGCCTTTAAAAGTGGCTCTAGCTAGAAGTAGCTGACTGAAGGGAAACTTCTGGCCCAGTGTCTCCATTCATAGTGTTAAAGTTCTCCCAAACTCTCCTTTGTTTCTCCTTACCCCACCCAGAGCCCACCAACTCCACTCCTCTGTAACATTCCTTCACACTCATTTCAGACCCTCTACTTCATTCCTCTCAGGTCCACCTATTGCCCTGGTTCTTCTCACCAGAATGCCCTCTTGAGTTACCTGCCCATCCCATAGGAGAAGCACTAATCCTCTCGGTTGAAAGCCTCCAAATCAGCAGGGCTTCTAAAGCAACCCAACCTCTGTAACGGGCATGGAGTAAAAAGACTGTATGCAGATAACACCTACTGAAAACAGATCAGGATGAGACTGAAGAGGAAAAAAATACGAAAAACAGAATGCGTATTTTCTCTGTGCTTTGAATTCCTCCAAAGCGAATGGTTCCCAGAAATGACAGGAGGGAATTCTACCTTCAAATCTAGCTTCAAAATAGTGTTCTTACCTGCAGTTTCTCCCCAAGGATCAACACACTCAAGTAGTTTTCTCAATGCCAACATGAGGCTATTAGGAAACCTAGTCTGACACCAATGACTAAATTAGATGGCATCAAGTTTATTTTTCTCTGCCACACACACCTACATGTGAACACAATTAAGGTGGCCCAGTGCTGAGGAGATGAACTCAAGCAAGACTATGGCAGTGCGTGCGGACAAAGAAAAGCACTTCAAAAGCTCTGGCAGCATAACACTGTTTCCTTTGACAAAACGGAACAAAAGGGACACTCCCAATTAGTTAGCTAAAGCTAAGTGCTAGATTCCAATTCAGTGCTAAATTATCATGTAAGAATCTTTTTTGGTATTAGTACTAAAGACAGTTATACAAGAGTATAATACACCATACAGCATGAGAGGCACCAGCTTTACTCTAATGCACTGTAGAATTCTGGTCACTGGTGCAGAGTCTAAATTTCTTCAGGGGTAATCCAATGAAATCTCATAGGAACCAGCAGATCTCAGTATTTTCAACTCCATCCGGTAGTGAGGATAAAAACAAGCACAGCAATGTGTATAATCGATATAGAGAAAGTCAAAATCGGTCTACCTATTCCCACCCTGAAGAGGGCTTGAAGCATTGCTGGACTTTGTTCCCTTTCAATGGAGACTGTAATACTGAGGTATCTCAGATTACACAGAACTGACGCACAGGCTTTATTTTAGTATCATCTAGGATCAGGAGCCTAAGTACAACTGATTTTTTTAATATGCTTTTGAAAGTATTACCCACATTCATGAGAACACAGGACGAATACGACAAAACCCAAGTAATTTCCAAAATGCTCTTCTTTTTGTGCTGTCAATGCCATTCCCACATTTTAGAACACAGATCTAAGTCAAACCACATTAAGCAAGCACTGTTAAAGGAGTGTCTAGATACTGGTACATAAACAAACGTGTTTGTTTTTTTGTGTGTGCAGAACACAGTTTTTAGGTGTTCTCCATATAACATTCACCCGATATTTAAATTTTTCCTACCAAATCCCACATTAAATTCTACATACTGAAAATAAGCAGAAGAGCACAAGGTACTGATCATCTGGAAGAATCCAGATCATACACTACTCTACTTGCTTCATTCACACAGCTCTTTGTCTTTGGCACTTAAAAGAAGATGAGCATTAGGAATTCAATAGTTTTCAAATTCAGAAATGAAAGATCTCATCCCATCTCTGACATGAAAAATCAGTGCAACTCTGTACGACTACTATGCGTGTGGATGTGCAAGCACAAACAGAGATTATACATAAATACAGAGTTCTATGTAGGCTTTTTCACTTGACTTAAGAGTAGGTAACTGTCACAGATTAACTTTCTCCTGTTATTACTAGGATTTGCAAGCAAAGACCCACTAACATTAAGAAGTTTCACTAAAAAATTATTTTGGTTTCTGTTAAACATGTGACAGAACAATGGAGCATTACTCAGTTTTCCCCTCAAAGGAATACAAATCCTATAAATATATGCGAAACGGATACAGACATTTGTCCAAATTCCTGGAATTTCTTAATTGTATTGGTCTGGCTTAAGCATTGAGAGCTGCTGGCCCATAAAAGGAATTATGAGCTCACTCTGCTTTTAAATTGCAAGAAGGTCCTATTCAAGTGTTCATTTACGTTATCATTCAGCTACCAAGACACCCGAGAGATCATATCTTAAGCAGACTCATGAGAACTAAGCTGCTACTAACATTTCAGCAGCTGACCTCTGTCCACATGCAGCTAACATCTGGTTCAGTGGAACTACTCAATAGGATGGCATACCATTTGAGGCTCGTACCAGGTCTATTTTCTAGGACTAGTATATAAGTACACAGGAACACTTTTTTAAAGGACAAAGAGAAACATAAGCTTTTAAAAACTACTACAGAAATAGAAATACCAGTAATCAAACTGGAGATAGACCATCAAGTTGGTCTTGGTGTTATTTATACCTTTCCCCATCTCTCTACTTGCTACATTTCTGCTTGAATTTCATTAGAATGATCAGGAAAGGGGCCATCTTTCAAAATTAATTTCTCTGTTGACTACCGTAATGGGATTTTGAGCCTAAATAGGACTCTCAAAATGAACACAAGAAAAATCACACTGGAACTAATCAGAAAATGCCCCAAATGTAATGCATTATTTTCACTAGCAGGTTGAGTTAATGCTGCATGTGGCGATATAAAGCAAACAAACAACTCATTCACGTGCCACACAACTACTGTGGGACTGATTTTGCGCATGGAAAAGAAACTATTTATCAAAATAAACACGTGGTATGTCCCCTGCCAAAGATGCACTCTCCAAGGTCTAATTTAGCAGAATTCTTTCCGTGCCTCTGGAGAAAACCTGGAAGGTTCCCCCTGCAGTGAATCTTCCGCTCACACAGCCACACAGCGTTTCCTTTGGCTAACAGTTACGTATTAGAGAGCACATACAACTCAGAGTAATGAAGTTTTTTTACTCATCTTTTACTCAACTCATTTTGATGAGGTAAAGAGTTGAAAACATGATTTTAAGTAAATCTTTTTTCATTAAAAGGCCAGAAATACAAAAAACTTAGCAACCACTCCCTTCTAATATGACCGTTCTTTGCTTTAATGACCTTCTCTCTCCAAAAAAAATGACATAGAGAGAAAAATCATTACATTTTTTCTTACTGATAATGTGAGAGCCTACATAATACATATTCAGTCAAGTGTCCTTCTCAAAAAAAAAAAAAAAAAAAAAAAAAAAAAAGAAAAAAAAAATCTAAGATACTTACGGAGTCCAAACCTTCGGAAAGGCAGCAATTTCTTCTGGTGTATATTCGTCTAATCTCTTGGGGACTGCACGTGGCTGAGGAATCTCTTGTAGAAGATTCTTCTGTATATCTTCTGGAATATCCTGAGGCAGGTGAGAACAGTCTTAGCTATCTGATTGTTTGAAAAACACCACTGCCCCCCACCCCCCAAATTCAGACTAAAATTTGTCAACACTACTGCATCCTTCATGCTATTTGACCTAAATACAGAAGACAAATCTCACTCATCTCTCATATCTTGTAATTTTGTGAAATAATTAAAAAAGCGTCAACATTTCAACTACATTTAGATACATAAGCAGCTTGATTTTTCTTAATTTACCTTCTTATGACAAGAGTTCTGCTATTGCTAACACTCCCTCTTCACCTCCAAAGCACTCAGGAATGAAAATGTAACTGCATGACTCAGTTACTCACATCTTCCGGGAAAAGGTGCAGCCTCTGCATCATAGTTCTTCTCTGAAGGTTTTTTGGAAGCATTCTATAAATAGTCAGTTTAACAATCTGAGGAAAGATAACACAGCAACAAATCATCAGACAGGCTACAAATAACATGAAAAAGGCAAACTGTGCTTCCCTTTGCCCATTCCACTAGTCACTGAACCTTTTTTCAGTCAACTTCTTCCTTGTCAAAGAACTCTGGCATGATACATTTAGAAGGTGCTCTAGACTTACTGTTTTGGAAGAAGGAACACTTACTCCCAGTCATATAAACACTTGCTATAACAGCCATATAGAAAATTTCAGCTTAGAAAGTTAAGAGCTATATTTAGCATTGTAGATTGTGTATGATCATTCAACTTTGAAAAGACTTGAGAAGCTTGTGGTAACTCCATATTGTATTGCACATTTATATACACGTTAATGAGGAAAAAAAGGCTTTAGCAAATTTACCAAGTGTTCTCAACATCTAGTTTAACACTGCAATTCGCTGTGTTTGAAACTTCTATATAATTGATGCATTCCATCTTAAGCAAAGCTGACATACCACAACATTGCATCACGAACATACTATACATATTTATAATTTTTTCCCTTGCTCTTAGTTCCAGATGAACAATCTTACTTCTGAGCACCAGGAACGAATAGAATTTGTACATCTACACTAGATGATGCTTACAGAATATTAACAAAATTCAAAAGGATTTCTCTTGGACTCTAGTGTAGATGCCCAAAATTTAAACATAAAACGCATTGTTATGGACTTCATCCAAAAGGGGAACATTTTTAAATGTAAAACAAGGCATGCAACTGTAAGAGACAAAGAGGGTTTCATAAAGGACAACAAAGTATTTCGCGGTAGACCTACGTGCAATTTTGTAAGTAGAAGAAAACCCACTCTGCCTGCGCTCCAAGCCACCCAGACATAAACTAGCTCCAAATCATAAACTACAGAGCCATGCTTAGCATGTTAAGCTGAAGTCAATAAGCCATGCTGAAATGTAGTGCACTAAGCACAAACAAATCTCCCCGGCAGCCAGATATTTTGAAGTGTGTACTGAGCAAAGTTGTTTCTTTTTATAAAATTGAAGGAATTATAAAAAATTTTAGAGATACTAATTGACTTCCCAGCTGGAACCACGTAGCTAAGACAGAATGATTGTTACAGGTCAAATTAATGAGAAGTACAGGTTCTTAAACTTGTAGGCATTTCTACTTGGATTCTGAAGTTAGTAAACACTCAGGTTATTTTAATTTTGCCATTTATAGGCTGGAGACAGAACTTAAAAGGCAGTAGCATTGTCTTACGATCCTGATAAACATATACCAGCTTGCATATGCCTTGAGAAACTCTGAAGGCATTTACAGAAGCCTTAACATCACGAAGATTTTTAGATGTTAAGCAGCCAGTACCACAGATCTGTGGAAAAATATAATTTATGACAGAAGAAATGCATCAGGCGGGGCAGAGTAATGTATAGTGTTGATATCGTCTCTAATAAAAATTAAAAAACAACTATTAAAAAACAAAGATGAAAATTAATGCTTTTAGGGATAAAAACTATTATGCAATAGTACAGCAAACTACAGTTTATTTACGTCAGTATATTATGTGCTTAGAGAAAGGCAAGATGAAGAGAGAAAATGAACTTTCACTGAATATTGAAAATCAATAGACACTACAGCAATGTAGGAAAACACATGGATATTAACAACAGCTCATGTGAACATCCATTTTACCATTAGTAATATTCATATTGTACACTTATTTTCCTTTCTACCCAATATTTTTCATTATAGCCAATGAAAGACCAAAATACTCCAGAACTGAAAAAAATGGATCCAGAGACTTCACAACATATTCCCTAACTGGGGGGATTTTTTTCTTTATCTAAAAGTTACTTTAAACTTCAGACTGTGATAGAATTCAGTGTTAATTCCTTAGATTAATAAACTGGACATACAGATAGTCCAAAATATGACCTATGACCTACAGATATACAGAGCTAGTTATTTAATAATTTCAGTGCAATAAAAAGAGAGACTTTAAAATACTTTAATGAACTTTAAGAAATATTTTCCTTCACCAAAAAACTGATGTTTGTGTCAGATTTTTCATCTTCCTCTGCAGCATGTGGCACAGACACCTGTTGAAAGACACCAGTGAACTAGACGAACAGCTGGTCTGTTTTGGTTGTAGGTACTTCTGCCTGATGAATCCGACCCAATTTTTTAAACCACATTACAAAGAGAACAGATCAGTTGTAAAAAAAGTTTCTGTTAAAAAGACACGCTGTAAAAGTATGAAGGATGTCACAGAATTGTAGAATACTTTGGGTTGGAAGGAACCTTTCAAGGCCATCAAGAGCTGGATGCAGGACTCCAGGTGGGGTCTCACTCGAGTGTAGCAGAGGGGCAGAATCCCCTCCCTCACCTTGCTGGCCACGCTGCTTTGGATGCAGCCCAGGATGCGGTTGGCCCTCCGGGCTGCAAGCACCCATTGCCAGCTCACATCCAGCTTTTCACCCCCCAGTACCCCCAAGTCCTTCTCGGCAGGGCTGCTCTTGATCCCTTCATCCCCCAGCCTGTACTGGTACTGGGGGTGGCCCCGACCCAGGTGCAGGACCCTGCACTTGGCCTTGTTGAACCTCATGGCGTTCACAAGGGCCCGTTTCTCAAGCTTGTCCAGGTCCCCCGGATGGCATCCCGTCCCTCTAATGAATCAACAGCACCACTCAGCTTGGTGTCATCTGCAAACTTGCTGAGGGTGCACTTGATCCCACTATGTCATTGATGAAGATACTAAATCCATGCCTGATCCAGGATTTCAGTGTTAAAGCCTCTCCCATTCCAGAGCTTCCATGCAAGTGAATGAACTCTCAGAGGAAACAAACTTGTAACATACTAACTGGACATTTCAAACAGCTCATTTTTTACTTGCATGTTTTTGTGGTTATGATAGAGCCTTTAGTGTCCCATCCACTTGAAAATATCGCCGTCTATACGTTACATCCATGCAGAGGAACAATAACCTTGGGTTTCAGCGTGTACGCTCCCTGCCCCAGCAACTCATGGTAGAGGCAAAGAGGGAACAAAGCCTTGCCTTCTGCAGCAATCATAATTTCCTTGCTGGAACAGGTCAAGGGCAGATTTATATGTCCCAGCCCTCAAGCTCATTCACCTTGCTCAAGAAAAAAAAGAGAAAAAAAAAAAAAAAGAGGGATGAGGTGGTGATAAACTATTCTTTGAGATTTGTAAAAAGCCACCTAACTGTATTACTAAGCAAGCTGGAGTGTAAATTTAAACCATCCTGCTGTTCTTTCCTTTTAGTATTGATTTACTGCAAGGTAGGTAGACCAACTACTGAACAGAAGGCCATACAGGGAGCTAGAACAGAAAAGGTGCTGCTGGAAAACCTCTAGTTTCCTTCATTGTAACTTTTGCTTCAAAGACTTTTCTATGAGCTAAAGCAAATCCAAACCCAGCTCCTGGAAAGACCAAGTTTACATCTAGCTCCTTGCCCCGAATTCTGCCTACAGCTAGAACCTCACTCGAACTCGTGTGATGACAAGTCCAGTAAGTTAGTAAAGTACAAGCTTAACTAAGTTGTACAGATTGCTTCTGCAACTTGAAATAAGGTTGTGTAACAGATAAGACAGATCTAACCAGCAGTATTTACAGCGTGTTAAGTAAGGGCTCTCCTGTTACCTGAACATGCTCAAGTTTTACTGAAAATACAGCAACCCTAAATAAAAAAGTATGGAATTGCAAGACAAAGTCTGCTACTGAGATCATGCAAAACCCAAACCTAGATTCAACACTCCCTGAAAGCACACATCGGAACATGCTGTTTCTTTAAGGAATGAACAACAAAAAAAATCTTTGTATATGCTTGTAATAATTTCTAATAAAAGGCAATTTTTATTGTTTTCTATGTGATTATGTTTACTTTGAACTATAAAAAGAACAAGTTTTATTTCACATGAAAGGTATAGAACCCAGTTGATTTCTGTGGGATTTCAAACTGACAGAGAGGTCTACCTACCCACAGGTCTCACTGCAACCTCGATCTCAGTTTAAAACTAATTAGTACAGTTCATTCAGTTATTTATGGATTCCTACTGCCTCTTCTCCCCAGTCCTTTATCTTTAGTACTTCCATAGCCTCATAAATACTCACTCCTAAAGGCCATGACACTTTCTCCATCTGGTAAAGACATCCACCATCAGATATAAACAGCCACCAGAGCGTTAATATTTGGAGATTTTTAAAGTACTGGAATGCTGTTTGCCCCAATTTCTTTTGAATTACAAAGTTCCTGTTGGCTGTAATTACATTTGTCATCTTGAATATTGCAATACCTTTTTTCCAAGTTGGCTAATTTATATACTCACAGCATAGACATGCTTTTAATCACACAGTTATATGACATTATGTTTTTAGTTTCCAGTTTAAAGGGCTAATTAGGAGGAAAGGAATCTGAAGGCAGCTCTAGTAAAACTTTTGCACTTCCAGTCCCTTACTACACAGTCTAACATTTTATGAGTACAAATATATTAAACATATATTTATTTGAAACACTGTGTGAGGCTTGAACATTTCAATTTTTGTGATAGGCTTTGGCTCACGTGCAAGTTGCAGACTACACTGGATGGAGAACAAGGTCTGAGAAAGATTCTTTGCCAGATAAAACATACTTTAATGAAGGAAATCAACAGAGCAATACCACTCCTGGTCCTGAGAAGCACAAAATAATTTGCCACATTTCCAGAAGAAAGTCTATCCTAACAGTTGAATTAAGTCCAACAATTACCAGGAAGCAACTCTAGAAAATGGCAAGGACACAGCGCTCCAGAGAAAACAAAGTGATTAATTACAGGGCATACCAAAAAAACACCTAGAAGAATTCAAGGAGATACACCAGTTACTCAGAGGTACAGCTTGTTAATACATCTTCCTTCTGCCAGTTCTTGGGTTTCTGTTCTGTATACAATATTGGTCTTTTCACCATATATGTTATAAAAGCATACTAAGAACTTCACCTTTCTACCTCTGACAGTTGC